TGAAGAAGAGGAATTTAATACATTGGTGTTACATACAAAACAGTCCGTCGCCGGGCAGTTTATTGTGCGACACCGCGTACGCGGTCGTAAAAATTTGAGCTTTGCACGGACATGCCCTGGGGGGTACGCGCGTACATACGCAGAGGTACGCGCGTACCTCTGCATATGGACGTACGCGGCAGTATACTGGGGGCTTAACTATTCATAACAATTTTTTTTTTTAAGATGCTCTACTTTTCTGTTTTATTGATTGTGTGACAACAGAAAACAGTAAATGCACTCAATACTCACATACTCAATAAAATATACCTACAGTACTTGAAAAAAGATTACTCCTAAACAAGTTTTGTATTTGCACGGATGAACTTATTCCACAGCTACATGTTTGCTTTCCAGTTTTGGACAATTTTTAATAGGAAAAGAAGAAGAAAAGACTTGACTGCAAAGGTTGCAGACCCCTGGGATATTAGAACTAGCAAGAACTTAGGGCCATCCTTTGTCACAACCATTGTCCAAAAGCTAAAGTTTTGGATCCACTGGTTTAATGTGACGTTTTTCTGCCATGAAATAGCACATTCATAATGATCAGAGGTACAGTAAAATATACTCACTGCAAACATGGAGCGGAAGTTGCTGAGGTCGGTGAACAGCTCCTCCACAGAGGTCTTCTTGGGGTCCACAGCAAAGTATTCCAGAACATTCTGATATAATGTCTCCATGTTGCTGTGCATGATCACCAGCTTGCCGTACTGCTCTCGTGCAACTTTGCTAAAGTTGTGAGGGGTATGTCAAGGTCAACAATGCATCTGCCACATTTGAAATTAATCAGATGCTGATGTGAATACTCCCCCAACTTGGTAAATAAAACAAGAGCATTGTCTCATGTTCTCATAGCACTGTGAAGCAGAAAATCAGTCAGATGTAAACTGTGAAGTTTCCGTTAGTAGTGTTGATGCAGTCTGTCAGCTTAGTTTTACAGTATGTTCACACTCGTGCAGCCCACAGCATTTGTGCTCAGCTGCTGGCAAAGAGCCCTAATATATCTCACATGCACATAATAAACTGCTAACATCAACTCAAACCAAAAAAAAAAAAACGTCAACACATTGTAATCTGTGAACGAGGACGAGATTTAAAGCACCGCAGCAGCCTACGGGGAGTGTGAATCAATGGTTTTACTTAAAAAAAAAGTTTGATTCCAACTTTCCCGCTACAGTCAGTTTGAAACCCAAACACGTAGCACAGCAAACCCTTGTATCTTAAAATGGTTCAGGAACAGTGGGCAGCAGGTGGTCCTTAAAGAAATACTTGTACTCTTTAACACAGAGAAATCTAATAAATACTGCAGATTTTAAAACTGCACTGTACCGTAAAATCTGGCAGGCATAAAAGAGAATTACTTTCGGCTGAGGCAAAATAAAAGGATAGCTCTGCTTCGTCGGTGCGACTGTGTGTGGAAGCAGACAAATGGTGTAATAGTTCTGTCAACATGTGCTGTAGAGGTGTCAGTGTGGGAGCGAGTGCACTGAAACACAACATGCCAACCACCTGGGCATATGGTGCTGTTCAGCAAGTCTGTCGCCGTGCGCATGACACTCACTTAAAGCAAAAATGTAATGTTCAAAAATACATTTCCAAGAGCAAATACAGTTTCAAAACTTAGGCTGAGGGAGAGACCTCTATTGTGCTCCTGAACAGACTGAAATGTTGTTTTCTTATATATATATATATATATATATATATATATATATATATTTATTATCACCGTTCAGGCCAGAATTTTTGCACTAAGTTCATCCGATGTTGTGGAATGACAGAGTAATTTTGATTAAACCTTGAAAATAACACTATCACAAGCTCAAGCATGTACTGTTC